GATTTTTTTTTTTTTTTTGAGACAGGGTATCACTATGTCATTCAGGCTGTCCTTGAACTCACCAAGTAGCCCAGCCTGGCCTGAAATTTACTGTGATCCTCCTGCCTCAGCCTCATGAGTGCTAGAATTACATGCATGCACAACCGTGGCTGGCTATTCACTTATTTTTTGAAAGCTTTGTTTTGAACTTTCAAGCAGTTTATACACACCTTCTGAATACATGACAGTTGGCAAAATAACTTGCATCATTCCTTGGTTGTTGAAGGTTTCTGCAATGTATGCCAAATAAACCTTCCAAACGTGATATAAAAATATGTGCCCTAAACCCAGCAGGGTGGCAAATGCCTGTAATCCCAGCAGTTGAGAGGCTGAGCCAGGAGTATTGGGAGTTTGAGACTAGCTTGGGACATAAAGTGAGCTCAAGGCCAGCCTGAATTGCACAGTGAGACCCTGTCTCAAAGAGAGAAAAAATAAAAACCATATGCCCTGGCTGATGTGAAGGCATTTTACAGCTTGACTTTAGAAGTTTATCCCAGAACTCAGGTACCAGGCCTTTATTCATTCAGTAATAAACTGTGACGTTGTGAACCAAGTTGTTGCATCTATTTTAAAAAGTAACCCAAATGTCACATTTGAGAATTGGTTCTGAGTTACTCATTGATGTGACATTTGCTAAAATACACCAGTTGACCAGCACAGGAACTATTCACAAGAACAAAGAGATTTCTGGAAAAAGGTTTCAAATTCACAATAGAGAAATGTATAGTACAATCTTTGGATTTCAGAAAGACTCCAGTATGGTGAAAAATACCACAGTATGGATACTGTCAATTTTACACCATGGTGATAAGACTGACAGTGAGCTGGGTGTGGTGGCGCGTCCCTGAAATCACAGCACTTAGGAGACTGAGGCAGGAGGATCCTGTGAGTGCAAGGTCAGCCTGTGCTACACAGTGAGTTCCAAGCTAGCCTGGAACACATTATAGCAAAGTAAAATAAAGTCGTACTTTTTTTTCTTGAGACAAGGACTTGATACACAGTTCAGGCCAGCCTTGAACCCACCATGAAGTCCAGGGTGGCCTATAACTCACAGTGATCCTCCTTCTTCAATGTCTCCCATGCTGGGATTATGGGCATAAACCACCACAAAATAATATTTATGCCTTCAACATTTCACCATGATGATAATACTGATAGTAAAGCCTGTTGGTGGTGCACGCCTGTTATCCCAGCACCCACAGGGCTAAGACAGGAGCATCCAGGAGTTCAAGGTGAGCCAATGCTACCTAGTGAGTTCAAGATTAACCCAGACTACCTAGGAAAATCTTGTCACAAAGTAACAGACAAATGAAAAAAAGATTGTTAGTGAATACTCAAACAGTAAGTCAGAGATGGTCACATTTTACAACTAAACAAAAGGCAAAGTAGATGTTGCAGCAACTATGATGTCTCTCGAAACACAAAGCATTGCCCAATGATTGGGTTTTACTCAATCTTAAAAATGTCAGGCATAGAGAGTTTCATAATTTACAAAAAAAAACCCAGAAAATATCATGAAGAAATTTTCTTAGAGGAATGGGACTGCAACTGATAAATGATCAATTATAACAGAAAAACAATATGTATCTGCCCAAAGAACTCAGCAAATTCTGGTGCAGAGTGGTGAAAACATACATGAAACATCACAAGAACCTCTGAAAAAGACAGGAAGACCAGCAAGATGTCAAGTATGTCCCTCCAAAGAAGAAAGAAAACAAACTACATGAGCTATCAGTGCAAGCAGCAGTTGTGTTCGGAACACGCTGTTCTCCTGTGTGAAACTATCATAGCTGTGTTAACTGAGGGAAAGATGGCTTTTATGGTAGAATTTTATTTGTATGCTCATTGTAGCTCACGTCGGAATATATGTCTGTTGTTATTTTTTAGACTTACTAAGCAAACAAACAGTTGATGTAGACAGAACAGGAAGAGAGGTGACCTGCCTGGGAAGTACAATGTCCTGACTTCAATTCCCAGTACCAAAAAAAAGTGAGGAACAGAAAATGTTGATGTTTATTCTACATACATATTGCATAGTAAAAATGTAATATTTTATTATATTCATATCTGACTTTCCTGTTAAGTGCATAGTGTTTAAGATTCATAAAATTGTTTTAAGACTCATAAAATTAAAATTAATTTGCCAAAAGAAATATTCCTAAAAATTAACATGAAGTTACATGCCCTTTCTAGAATTTAATGTGATGCCCCATGTTAATGTTCTTAGTCCTACATGAATTTCATTGCCCAAAGGTCCTTGGTCGATATTGAATTCCTTGGCTATGAAGATGTAACTCAAAGAACTTTTTTTTTCTTTTTTCTTTTTTTTTTTTTTTTTTTTTTTTTTTTGTCTTTTTGAGACAGGGTCTCCCTTTGCAGTTCAGGCTGACCTTGAACTCACTTTGTAGCCCAGGCTGGTCTCGAACTCGCAAGATCCTCCTGCCTCAGCCTCCCGAGTGCTGGGATTACAGGCATGAGCCACCACACCCGCCTCAAAGAACTTTTCTATGATTGTATTTTGGGGCAATGATCTTATAGGCGTAGCTGCAGAGCCTGTCCTCAGCCTGTCCCACCCAGCACCCCTGGGAAAGAACTTGATTGCTTGCTGGGCCTGAATTTCCTTAGGAACATGGAGTCACACCTCAGAGCTTTAAGAGATTATTTCTCCCAAATGAGATTTTGAGGCATTGATGATTAGACATCTCAGGCTAGAATCCTGTTTTACTGTTATTGTTATTGTTTGGTTTGGTTTGGTTTTTCTTTTTAAGGGGATAGCGTCTCACTGTGCAGTTCAGGCGGGCCTGGAACTCACTGTGTACCCCAGCTTGGACTTGAGCTTGAAGCAGTCCTCCAGCCTCAGTCTCTGATGCTGGGATTCCCGCATGAGCCACTATGCCTGGCTCCTGAGAAGCATTTGGACCCTCATCATAGACTAAGCATGTCAGGATACCTCAGTGACACCCGTGAGCAGATGCATCAGGCAGAGGCAGGAAGTAGGAGAAAACAGAGACACAACTCCAGTAGAAGATCTTATAGGGATTTGGGGTTCACTGCAGTTCTGATTGGCCCATTCCATTTGGTTTGGGGGTTGAGTGACTCGCTGCCCATTATCTGAGTTCTACTTTTACAAGATATTCCTGGGACCACAGGGAGGGTGTCCCAGTTTGGGCACAGATGGCTGGGCTCTGGGAGCGCCCTCCACGCACTGAGCCATGTATATGCAGACACCTGCCCCATGGCAGCCCCCAGCCCTCCCTGCAGTGCCCTTAATGCAGTCCACAGAGGAAGAGGCAGAGTCAGCGGCAGCACTGTTCCCATGCAGAGTCGTCCAGAAAGAGGAGGAAAAGCTCAGAGCAGGGACCACCGGCTGCACTCCGGGTTTAATTAGATCATGTTTGCAAATAGCAAGGCAGCTAAATCAATTAAAGAAAACTTCCCAAAGAACTCCTATTATGGATATTTTCTTTTCTTGATCACCTTGCCTTGTATCACTGTGCTCAGGTTTCAAGGGCCTGGAATGTCCTTGCTCTGGATGACAGCAAATTGACCCAGCTGATGTCTAGAGGTTTGCTGAGGGCCAGGTAGTGCAGCATATTTTAAAACTATGCGGAAGAGAGTTTTTATGAAAGGGAACGTTTCATGGGTGTCTTGGAGTAAGAGATGATGAATGAAGGACCTTTGCGCAAAACTGTAGAGACCCTGAGGAACAGAATCTAAATGGGAATGCACAGAAGAGATGCAAACTGTCCTAGCCTTGGTAAATTCCATTCCAAACTCAAGCATCTGACTTGGCTTCCTGTACACAGATAACAAATATGTCTCTCAGATCTCTGAGTGAGGGGGGTCCACAGCTCCAGCAACGAAACAATTCTTAGGGTGACCAACGAACAAAGGGTGGCATTCAAGCACTACTGAGAGGCTGCAGGAGCTCAAGGCCATATTCCTAAAAGGCGGCACATGGCTAGAAGATGAAGCTCTCAGTACATAGATGCACCTCGTCCTGAGTGGTGGTTCTGAACTTGCAGACTTGTTTATATGAGGATCTCACTGCTACATGCCGAGGGTCCCAGTAGCTGCAATGCCTCTGTGCCTCTGAGTACTCAGTGTCACAGATGCCACCCTGAATGCCCTAGATCAGGACTGCACTGGGCTTAGAATATTAGAAGTTGCAAGATGTGCTCAGGTGACAAGTTTGGGTTTCACTCATCAGTTTGCAGGGAATTGCCATGAACTTGCACTCAGATAAATGGTGGCACATTACTCCAGCTGTCCACATAGTGTCCTGGACTTCGGATATTGAGCCTGTCCCACTGTGAGCTCACCACAGACTACAGCATCCGCCACCTGGGGAGCCACTCAGCAGGAGATGAGTGAGCTGGACCCCTGCCCGATCACCACAGACACGTTTCTGGAGCAACCAGAGAGCTGCCACAGCCCGGAGCCAGGTAAGCTCCGCCACAGTTTGCAGATCACTCCTGCAGGGGTCCAGAGACTCAGGACTTACTCAGCCAACATTAAAGTCCACATCTGCTTCGCACCTGTCACTCCACCCCAGTCAGTCCAGGGCAGCAGAAGGCACTTCTGCGGATGCTGCATCATCCAGTCACACTGGTGGGAGGCTGAAGCAGGAAGATGAAAGTTTACAAGTAGGACAGGCAATCTGGCAACATGGGGAGAATCCCCTCAAAATGTGTATCTGTCTATCGGTCTGTTTCTCTGAGAAGTGTTTTGCTTTGTAGTTCAGGTCAGCCCTGAATCTCCTCTGTGGCTCGGGCTGCCCTGCAACTCAGTAATCCTGTCCCCTCAGTCTCCAGAGTGATGGGATTAAAGGCGTGAGCCACCACACCCTGCAGTGCCAACCTTTAAAAAGGAGTCGCGTCAGTGGGGGTGTGGGCCAAGGAGCAGAAGGCTGAGGCAGGAGGCTCCAGAGCTGCAGAACATTTCTTCCAGTCCCAGAAATCATGGAGGGAATTGCTGGAGGCCATGGACCCGCCTGGTGGACCCAGCCCGAGCACTTCCGCAGACCGCTGGTCTTCTACATGGACGCAGAGCTGGAGGAGCGCCTGTTTGGCGGCAGGGACAGCGACCTTCGGCGCCTGGAGGAGCACAGCCACACGCTGATCCAGTTGGAGGCCTGGGCCACGGCGGATGGCCACACCCGCGTGACCGTGGTGGGGCCCCTGGGGGCGCAGCGCTGGCTGCAGGAGCTGGTGCGCAGCCTGGGCAGCCGGGAGCCAGGCAGCCTGGCCCGGGGCCTCCTGATGCTGCAGCGTGTGCGCAGCCGCCCGCTGAGCTTGGCAGATCTGGATGCGGCAGGACGCGGGGAGCCACCACCAGGGGACCTGGCCCGGGCAGCCTGAGCACAGTGATCGCCCTGCAGCTGCCTCCAGTTCTCCTGGTCTTATGGATTTGCTGCTGTGCCTGCTGGGGGAGCTTCGTGTCCATCTGGGCCCAGGGCCCGACTCCCCCAAGTCCTAGTGGGCGCCCAGTGAGAGGCATAGAGTGGGAGCCAGGGACGGAGTGGACCAGGATCCTCCCTCTTGCAGCTGCGGGCCCACGTGTGTGGGGAGACTGTCCGCAGGGGGAACCGCCTGCTCCCTGCAACACCACCACCGAGGACACCAGCTATTGACTGAGGTCTGGAAGCTGTGAGTTGTGGCCCGATCTCTAAAGTGAGATGGAGGCCAGCTTGAGCACCGGACCTGTTCAGTGCGGGACACATTTGGGTGCTGAACATGGTTAGGGTGTTAAGTACATGTTCCCGTTCTCCAATGAGGGTAATCATCATGTGTTGGCTTCACTGATTATTGAACATAGAATTCATTTTCTTTCGTACTGGGAATTTAACTCGACCTCTCCATCCCCAGCCCAATATGGAATTTATAAACAAAAAAAATGTAATAAACTATTGGGTATGTTGGTTCTCATCAAGGCTCTGTATTCAATCTCCAGTATTAGGAGTGAATTAAATAAATGCCACAATCCTCTCTTCACTCTTTTTGTCTTTTTGAGATAGGGTCTTGCTATGCAGCCCAGGCTGGCCTCAAATTCAATGATCTTCCTGCCTCACCCTCCTGAGTACTGGGATTATAGGCGTGCACCACCACGCCCGGTGCTCTCTTCACTCTTGCACATATCTTTTTTGTTGTTTGTTTTTTGAGAGAGGGTCTTTCTCTATAATTAAAATTGGTGCTGAACTCACTGTGTAAACCAGACTGGCCTCAGACTTGTCAAAACCCTCCAGAGTGCTGGGAGTACAGGTCAGCGTCACCACGTCACTGGCTCTTTCTTTTGAGACAGGGTATTACCATGTACTTACGCTGACCTGGAAATTGTGATCTTCCGGCCTCTGCTTCTTAGGGCTGGGATTGCAGGCCTGCACTCCACACCCAACCTCCTCTGTACTTTGGTTCTCCCCTTTCTAGGGGTGTTCCCTTCCTTCCCCCGCTGCTACTTTTGCCCCCTTGACCCACGTAAAAGTGGAGCCATGCAGGTGGCTCCCCCCAGCAAGGCCACTGCCACCTGCTGTTTCTGGACCAGCTGCTCCCTCCCACCGCACCCCACTCCCCAGCCTCTGTGGGCCCTGCTGGGAGTCTGCCTGCCTCTGCTTGGGAAACACCACTGTTGACTCCAACCTTCAGCAAATGGTCCTTGAGGAACAACTCTGAGCCTTGTGGGGTTGGCATTCAGGGTCCACAGCCCCACCTGGGGCCTGTGTTCTGCAGGGAGCACACACGGTGGGCATCTAAGGACTCACTGGGGGAGAGGTCTGTAAAGCAAATGAAGCTGGGCAGGAGTGTAGTGTGCATTGGGCTTACTGGCACACTGGGAGGCTGAGGCAGGAGAGGCAGGACAGGAAATAAAAGGAGAGGTGGAGATGAGACCAGAGGGAAAGCAGTTCAAAACTTGTTTTCAAGAAAGACTGCCTTCTCCCCAGACAGCAAACCTGGGCAACTCCCTTTCAGCACACAACGGGTCTGCCAGCTCCCTTTAACTCTTCCCCGGGCCTCTTCCGCTGAGGAAGGGACTGTGCTTTTGGCATTTGCCCTAGGGATCCCTCACCCAGGTCAGGCCACCCTCTCTCACCCTCCACGACTGAGAGTGAGACAGACTCTAGATCACTGGTTTTCCATAGGTTTCCACCTCTCGAAACCCATAAAGGATTCCCAGTTCCCAACGGTAGCCTGCCTGCTGCCTTGAACACCCACACCCTACTCTTGTGTGTGCCCGGGATCCCCCTCTAATGAGTCCTTCTCTGTCTCTTTTTCTGGGGACGCATCCTGAAAATTCTTTTTCCTCTATAACAATCCGTATTTATTTGGAAAGGGGTGGGCTAAGGTGCTTGTTTCAGCCTTGGGTACTCTCACACCCAGCCTATGATAGGAAGATGGAAAATTCAAGCCCAACCTGGTCCCTTAATGACTTAGCAGGAACCCCTATCAAAATTAAAAGTAAAAAAAGCTGAGGGTGTGGGGTCTGGTGTGACAGCCCTGGCTTCACTCCCCACACGGGGAAAATGACGAGTGTGATCGATGTGTGAGCTGGTTTAGCTGGTGTTCAGGGCAGTCATCAGTGGATGAGATCTGAGTGTAGCAGAAAACACCCCCCAGCCAGTCTGTTAGCTGCTCAGGTAGAAGTTTCTGTTCCAGTTCTTGTTACCACTGTCTCCTAGAAACAGCTGGTCACTGTGATGCCCGGGTCGTCACTGTGATGCACATTGTAAAAATCAAAGACAGTCAAGTACTCTACTTCTTGCTTACAATCCCATAAACACTTGCCTCCCTTAGCCTTTGGGACCTGACATTTAAAGAGACAACTGACTCCCTGTCTATGCCCATCTGAAGTTAAATGAATCAGCCTATAACTCATGGGTGTCATGTCAGTACTTCTGCTTGCTGTTGCATCTGGCGCATTGGCTGAGAAGACCAGCTGTGCGGACCTCTTTGGTTACCTGTTGCAACCAGCTGCAACTCTAGATGTTCCTGGGGGGAAGGCCAGAAAGAGGATGAAAAAATAAAGAAAAAAGATAAGCCTGGGTTCAGTCCCTAGGACTACAAAACCAAAAACCACTATGGGTCAGATCCCTGCTCAGCTCTGCTTGAAGGGAGCGTCTGTCCTCCCAGATCTCTTAGCCCTAAAATGCCCAGCCCGTCTCGATCCCTTTCAAGACCCAAAAGGAACTGGCATCATTTTCAGGGTCTGCAGGGACAGCTGACCATCAGCTTTCACAACTTCCCATTCCCGCTCCCTTGGGCCCATGCCTCCAATCCTAAGTCTTTGCCTTCAACACCCTTGGATTCTAGCAATAGCAAAGGCTCCTAGGCCAGCCCTTGAGCAGCTTACCCCACAAGTGTGAGGACGCCCACCCCCACACACACACATCCAGCAAGAATCAGGACCAAGAATGCATCTCCAAGCAAGATTGTCCCCTCCTGGAAACCAAATCGGCCCACAGACCGTAAAATTCCTCTGTACCTGGGTGACCAGAACTGACAGGCACCAAGCAGACCCCAGCTCCTCCATGTGGTTATTGGATTTTCTTTTGTGTTTTGAGACAGAGTCTCACTATGTAGTGCAGGCTGGCCAGGAACTCAGTGATTCTCTTGACTCAGCCTCTCGGGATGCTGAGATCACAGGCAAGGACCACTCTGCCTGGCTTTTTACCTACTTTCTGATTTTGCCTATGCCTCTCACTGATGTGCCCTGAAATGGCTTTTCTTTCAGGAAGGGCACCAACAGATTCCATGGGGGATGGGGGGAGAAGTCTGCATCTCCCCCTGTACTGTGTGGTGAGAAATCTAGGCAAGAAATGGTAATCCTGGGAGGTACTGAGGCAACCAGAGACTCATAGAGGACGTTTCCTATGCGTGCAGGGAGATTGAAGGAGATGCAGACAAGCTGGAGGAGGGCAGGACACCCAGAGCAGTGGCTATCCCCACGCCTACCCATCCCATCCCCCCCCCCCCCCCCCGCGCGTGCAAATGGTGCTCTTTCTTTGAGAGAGGCTCTGGCTATGCAGTTCAGGTCGGCCTGGAAGTCAGTATGGAGTCCATGCCGACCTGAGAATTCCTCCTGCCTCAGCCTCTGAGAGATGGGTTTCCATGGTTGGATCAGCATGCCCAACTCCAATCATGATTTTTCCTCCCACTCAAGCAGGGCAAGGTGTGTCTGATGGATGTCACCCCAGCACTTGGATGCTGAGACCCAAGGGCTGCTGGGAGCTGGAGGCCAGGGGAAGCTGGTGAATTGAAGCCAGTAAGAGCTCTCCCTGCCAGCCTTCCAATCTTTCCCTTTCTTGGCTCTGGGTGTGCTCAAAGAAGGGGCTTCCCAACTCAGCCCCCTGGGGGAGGACTGAGCATTGCTGGGCGTGGGACGGAACCCTCATGCTCCTGGAAGCAGAGCAAGCAGGTGGCCAGCAGCTGGGGCTCTATAGGGGAAAAGGTGAGCAGCCAGCAGTTTCAGAGCTGGCCTCTACTCCCCGCACGCTGGGAGGCTGAGACCAGAGAATGGCCACAATGTCCAGGCCAGCCGGACTAATTGTCGGTGTGCAAAGGAAGAAAGAGGCGGACATGGCGGGGACGGTGGTGCTGGCCTGTAAAGGCAGCAGTGTGGAGGCCGAGGTAGGAGGGTTGTGAGAAGTGGGAGAGCAGCCTGGGTTCCGGGGTGACTGCAAGGCCAGCCTGAAATGCAAAGGAGACTCTGTCTCCAATAGAAAACAAGGAAGAAAGGTAGAAAGATAAATACAGATAGACACAAAAGTGCGGAGATGAAGGTGGGAGAGAATTAGACCATTTATTTCTTGAATTGTCTCCCAGTACTGCAGATTGAGGGCAGAGCCCAGGCACAGCTGGACATCCCCAATACAGTGTTATTCCATTTCCTGGTTCTAACTTGCAGGTTACATAATCTGCAATGCCAACACACGGTGAGGACCCTCACTGGCAGGTCTTGGTACACACAGAGAACCCCTCAAGCATCTTCACCGCTCCACCCCACTGCAGTAAACACTTGCTCAGTGTGGGGACCAGGTCCCCTGGGCCCTCAGGCAGGCCTCCAGCTTGCTTTAGGGCTCAGGCTGCACCTCAGGGCTCCCAGGCCACAGTCAGTAGCTGGGGTCATGGCGGGCAGCAGGAGGTTCTCCTGCGGGCAGACGTCTCTTAGCACAGTCGGGCCCACAGGTGTGAGGCGGAGGATCTGGGCCCATGCCGCATGGCCAGCTCCCACTGGGTGCCTGTGTCTTGCGGGGCGCCCAGTGGACCCCAGGGCAGTCGGGCCCTGCTCACAGGCGCAAGGAGCCCCAGAAGGCAGAGCGGCTGATCCACAGGAGGGAGAAGAGCGCAGGCAGCCTCAGGCTGCAGGGCACCCTGAGGACGATGGGCAGGGCCAGGTGGGCGTGCAGGGGCTGCTCCCAGGCTGCAGCAGTCAGGTCGCCTGGGTGGAGCGGGCGGCTGCGCACCAGCTGCAGCGTGGCAAGGCCGCGGGTTCGGGCCCCCGGCTCCCCGCTGCCCAGGCTGCGCACCAACTCCAGCAGCCAGCGCCGCGCCCCCGCCGGCCCCACCACGCTCACGCGGGTGTGGCCCTCTGGCATGGCCCAGGCCTCCAGCTGGATCAGCGTGTGGCTGTGCTCCTCCAGGCGCCGAAGCTGGCCCTCCCCGTGCGCATCCCTTGAGCCAAACACGAGCTCCTCCAGCTCCACGTCCACGTAGAAGACCAGCGGCTTGCGGAAGTGCTCGGGCCGTGTCCACCAGGCGCGTCCACCTTCGCCCAGGCCAGCGCTGCTCGCCATGGTTTAGCTGGGGAGACAGAGAGCCCGAGGAGGGAGGGCGGCCGGTCAGACAGGCTCAGCCCTCAGGACACTTGAGGGACCAGACAACAAGGCACCCAACTCTGGCTGCTGCTTCTCTCCCTGGGGATCTGCCTCCCCTTCCCATCCCTCCTCCCCCAGCGCCGCTCCCTGTCATTTCCCTGAGCCCAGAGTGGACCCACCTGGCACCCAACTCGACACCTCTACTCACCTCTGTTTTGCACTAGGAAATGTCCTTGGACCAGGGGGCTCTTGGGCGACCCACTCTTAGGTTCCCTCTCTTTTCTCAAGAGCTCGATCTCTCTTGTCTCTGTCTGTCTGTCTCTCTCTCAATACATTTCTCTCACTTTTCACCTCCCTTGTTCCTTAGGATTCCTTTGTCAATTTGAGGGCTCACCTCTGACTACTAGTGGCTTGGTCACTCTGTTTTGTCCTCTCTAGCACCTAGAACCGCGCCAAAGGGCTCACAGCTCTAGATCCTCCTGCCTCAGCCTTCTGCTCACTGGGCACCACACCACTGCTTCACCTCCTTTTGAATGGTTGGCACTGTTGGGCGTGCTGGCTCACGCCTTTAATCCCAACACACTGAGGGGACAGGATTACTGAACTGCGCTGCAACCTCAGCTACACGCCTTTAATCCCAACACACCGAGGGGACACGATTCCTGAACTGCACTGCAGCCTCGGCTACAGAGGACCTTCAGGCTGAGCCTGATGTGTAAAGCACAACTGTGTCTCAAACAGACTGATGGGTGGGCAAACAGACAAACAGACAGAATGAAAAGCTGTATTTCGAGGCCAATTCTTCCTCATTTGCTAAGTTGCCCAGCCTAGGCGTGACTTGGGGATCCTCCTGCTTCAGCCTCACAGAGCATGGCGAGTAGCAGTGTGTGCCATCACGCCCGGCTCCTTCCAGGCACATCTTGGCAAAGCAGGACTCAGATACTAAGAGCAAGCAGCAGCGCCTTGCACCTGCGCATGCGTACACATGCGCACAGGCAACCAGCAATCCAGGGGCCGATGCTGAGCTAGGGGGAGCCCCCCACCTCAGCTGCTCAGCCTCCAGTCTTGGCCCTCTTCTACCCGGCTTCCACCCTGTGCCTCATGGAGCTGCCTCTGCCTCTTCCTCCTCTCCTGCAATGCTGTTTCCAGAAGGAGGGTCCAGATGGCAAGGCAGTAGCTGGGTGTGGCAGCCAGAGCCTGCAGTCCCAGCACTTGGAAGCCTGTGGCAGGAGCATCCAGGAGACCTAGAAGCCAGTCTGGGTTACACAAGGACACTTTTACTCTGCTGCTCTCTCTGTTGCAGGACTCCTCCTGCAATGGTACACAGAAATACTGAAATGATACTGAACGAGACGGGTTGGGCATTTCAGGGCTAAGAGATCTGGGAGGACAGAAGCTCCCTTCAAGCAGAGCTGAGCAGGGATCTGACCCATAGTGGTTTTTGGTTTTGTAGCCCTAGGGACTGAACCCAGGCTTCAAGACAGCCTGTATCAGCAATCTTTTATTTATTTAGTTATTTCTTTTGAGACACAGCTTTACTATGTAGTTCAGGCTACCCTTGAACTTACTAGGTAGCCCTCTCTGGCCTCAAACTACTGATGATCTTTCTGTCTCAGTCTCCCAAGTACTGGAAGCACAGTCATTTACCACTATTCCCTGCCCTTCCCCAGCATTTTTTTAAAAAATATTTTACTTTGAGACAGAGTCTTGGAAAATCATATAGTTGTCCAGACTGGCTCTAATTTGCAATCTTCCTGCCTCAGCCTCCCATAGTGCTTGTATGACACATGTGCACCAGTGTACCCTGCTGACATAAAATTTTAATAAATGAGATTTTTAACAAAATGCTTAAAGGCAGAGATGCCAAGCTTCAGCCCGATTTTAGAAACCCACTGGGCAACTGCAGGCCCAGTCTCTAGTCCTTGTTTCAGATCCCCCCTTGTCTAGTCCTGTCTTGAGGGAATTAGGGTCCCTACCAACCTGACTCTGTTAGTTTTCTGGCTGGGTAATGAACTAGGATATGAGAATGGGACAAACTAAGTCTTGATTTCCCAGAAAGGCTGGTCATAAAACTGGGGATATGGATATGGGTTCATAGATATGGATAACCAGGGTAACTTTTTTCCTTATTTAATTTTTATGAGTATGTGTTTGAAGTACATAATGATTAGATTCGTGGCAGGGAGTTGGTACCATGTACATAACAACCGTGGATAACTTTGACCGACTGTCGTTTCTGGTGAGGTGTGGTAGCACACACCTGTAATCCCAGTGCTCAGGAGGCTGAGGCAAGAGGATCACTGTGAATTCGATGTCAGTCTGGACTATGTAGCAAGACCCAGTCTCAAGCAAACAAAATAAAGAAAAAGAGAAAGAGAGACAAAGAAACAAACTAACAAAGAGGTCCAGAGATGTAGTCCAGTGGTAAAATGCTTCCTAGCACACCCAAGACCTTGAATACAATCCTTGGTCCCAAAGGAAAAAAAATCAGAACATCATGCATGTGATTGTTTTCCTGCTTTCTCTGTCTCCCCACACCCACGTCTCCACTTTGAGGGCCATAGAGGCTCGCCCCTCTGGACTCAGTCCAGAGTTCCTGTCCTTGGGGGCTCCTGACACCAAGCAGGCCCTCCCTGCCCCTGGTGTGTGAACCCTGGCCCTTCTCCAGCCTGCCTGCATCCCCTCCTCCCACCTCCCACTTCCTGCAGCTCTGTGAGCCAGAGATAACTTCACGTCCCAGCCCACATGAGCCCGGCTTGCTGTCCTTGAGCTTTAAGCTGACAGGGACAGCCAACAGGGACAGCCAACAGGGACAGGCAGGCGTCCTCCTCTGAGAGTTTCTAGAGATCAGCCGCCCCTGGACTCACTTCCCCACAAGGTTCCAGACATTTATTATATAAGATACAAATTCAGTATGAAGCAGGAGGAAAGAAATACAGATAGGTGAAATGGAGACAGGAAGATTAACATCTGTGTGTGTGTGTGGTTTGAGTCCAGCCTGGGCTTACACAGAACCCATCTCAAAAAAAAGTCTCTGTAGCTGTTTGGAAACTGCTGCTAAATAGCCCTCAAAATGGAGATGTGGGTGTTGGTGTGAGTAGACAAAGAAGATGAGAAAATAATCACATTAATATTCTTTTTTTGTGTGGTACATGAATTGTACATGGGATCTTACACATGCTAGGCAAGCAATTTAGCATTGAATTATATCCCTGGGCTTTTTCATTTTTTAATTTTTTCATTTAATGTTTTTTTTGAGACAGGGTCTCACTATGTGACCTAGGCTTACCTCAAGCTCACAGTGACCCTCCTGCCTCAGCCTCCTGAGAGCTGGGATTGCAAGTGTGTGCCCCCAGGCCAAGTGTTTTAGACACTTTTACCTGTAAAACTTCATCTGGTCCTCATGGAACTCTAATGGAGACAAAGCAAAGACCTGAGTAGAGACTGAGCTAGATAAACACATCAGAATGCTTCAAAGTAGCCTGTGGTTCCAGGTGAGACCCGAGTTAGGAGGATGTCACCTGGGAGTTGTCACTGAAGGGACACTGGAGCCAGCTCTGTTTTCTTTTTCTTTTTTTGAGACAAGGTCTCACTGTGAAGCTCTCAGCACAGTCTTAAACTCAATTACGTAGCCCAGGCTGGCCTCGAACTCACAAGAATTCTCCTGCTTCAGCTTCCTGAGTGCTAAGATTGCAGCTGTGCATCACACGTCCAGCCCTGGACTCCTTAGAAGAGGCTGCACTGGGACAGGAGCAGTATGAGGGGCCAGTCTACACCGGGGACAGAGGAAGAAGAAACTGCAGGAAGAAGCAGAGCTGAGCCAGGACAAACACAGACAAAATAAGAACAGCACGCTTTGTTCTGACAGGGTGGTCACTCGGGGCCCCGCCATCCCTGTTCTGGCACCGGCTGTTGTCCTGCCAGGAAGAGGTGAGACTGATCACCCCAGTCACATCAGCGCTACAGGCAAAGGGACACAATCCCTCAGTAAGTCTGCTCTCGCTTCAGACGCTGGTCATCCACATTTCTCAACTGGCTATAAACCCAGGTTGCCATGGCACCCTTAGGGTCAGTCAGCACAAAATCAGTGTCTCAGCACTAAGGAGGCTGAGGCAGGAGGATCACTGCAAGTTGGAGGCCAGCCTGGACTACAAGTGAATTTAAGGCTGGCCTGACCTGCATAGTAAAATCCTGTCTCAAAAAGAAAAAAAAAAAAAGAAGAAGAAGAGGAAAGAAAGAGAAATCAATGCAGGGAAGCACTCAATATTTGAAAATCATAATTTTATTATAAAGGGTACAAATCAGAAGCAGCTAAAGAAGGGGACATACAGACATACAGGGCCAGATCAGGGAGGATTCAAACTCAGAGCATCTTGCCAAAACCCCAGAGCCAGCAAACATCACTCTCCTGGCCCAGCCCTGCTTACCAGCCAGGAAGCACTCAGAGCCTCTGCTACAGATGGGATCAGAATGTCATTCTGCAGGCAGGACTAGTCACCTCGACAGGTTAAAGCCCTGGCCAAGTGACTGAGCGCTGGCTCTGGATCCTACTCCATCCCAGAGACCTGGATGGCTCTGCTCACACCCCCTATCCAGTCCTCCCAGCAGCCAGCCCCACCCTGAGCCATCAAACCTCCTGCTATCAACTCAGACCTGGCTTAAGGACTCATGGGGAGACACTTCTGTCACTCTAGAAGTCCCAGCAAGGACAAGGACGGAGTGCCCTCCCCCAAGCAGGGGAATGAGCAGTTGTATTCTTTGATGGACAGCAACCTTGAACCCGTATCTCCTGAAAGACCTACTCTGATCCAAACAAAGACAAGATCCCTGGAACAGGGCCTGTGGCTGCCCAGGCAGGTTCAGGTTTGAAAGCATCCAACAGTAGAAAGGAAAATGTACCTTCCATTCCACTGCTGCACTGATACCTATCTCCCTGTGACTCCCCGATACTCCCCCAGGCACTGACTGCAGTCAAGCCCAGACATACCATCAGTCAGCAGGCTCCCGAGTCACAACCCCCAGGTGCTGTGCAACTCAGGGCCTCTGAGCAGAAGCCCTCAACAGCGGGGCCTCATCTGCTGGATCCAGGAATCCTGCCCACTGCATGGCAGTCCCAGAAAGAGAAAACCTGACACGGCTTCATTGCCTTTAATGCTTCTGAGCCTCCACAGCCAGCCTTGCCCTGGTTATAGCCATGATTATCTCCTGAAAGAATTGATTCTTTAAAAAAAAAAAAAAAAAAAAGCTCAAGAAATCATGGTTCAAATATTTCTGATTAGCTAAAACCAATAGCAGGCAGGGAAATAAGGTAAAAAGATTACATATCTGAATTCGTTATAGATGATAACTTCAGAGTAATCACAACAGGCACGAATGGTCAGTCAATCTTAATACTGCAAGACTTGCCCATGACCTTTGTTTGTCGTGCCAGAGGGACTGAGACAGTCCTGGTACTGGAGGAGGGGGTTTTGCGTTGGTGCTTCTGGGAATTTCAGGTACTTCCGCAGGACACCAGGGTTTTTCCGCACTCACAGCAAAAGGCTTCTCCTCCATAATGCAGTGGCAGAGAGCAGAGAAAGAGCCATTTTCTACCATCTCACCTGCCTGATTCTGCAAAACGAGAAGCTGCAAGAATACAAAGGTTCCTCCAATCCGAACCATTTAATGGGACAGCAAGGTTGGACCATGAAGGCCTCCCCACTGCAGACAGCAGGTGCATGCCTCAGTCTATCGCAAAGCTCCATGCATGGAGCTCAGCTTTGGTGACAAGTACAGGGTCACAGACTCCCCTGTTCTGAGTGCCATACCTTCCAGGGAAGAGCCCTCTCTGTCACCCTCATCCTGCAGAAGAAGGCTCTAGCAAGAGCCATGGGATACCCCTGGCATCCAACTCCTCCAGGCCAGTGTGACTAAGCTCCAGCCAGGGCTTGGTTCACAGGATCAGTAAAGATGCTTTAGACATCTTCAAAGCCAGAGAAGCATGCACCACCAAAGAAGTTTTCTTCCTCAGAGCAAAAGAAGAAAACTAATCAGTTATGCCAGGAACATCTTCCCTACAAAGATTCTTCCTTTCCCAAGGAATTGAAAATTCTTCCTGGGAGATGGCACAGATCCCACATGTCAGGAATACCAAGGGCTCGGAACCCTGGGATTCCAGCACAAGGCCTGAGATGTGCTATGTTCTCAGTATCCACATGAAAACATCTGGGGTCCCTATATTCCCAATGGTGACCTCTTTTCATGCCCTAAGATACCCAACAGAGTGCGTCCCTTCTCTTGGGAAAGCCCAAAGCTGAACTCAAGTCACAAGAAGTGAAATTCTTTACAAGTTGGGGTAGGGATTTTTTTTTTAACTGAACATCAAACTCATGACCTTGTACTTGCCAGGCAACTGCTGGGCCACTGAGCTAGATCCCCAGCCTTCGGGGTAGGAATTTAACATCCTCACATCATCAAGATATGGGAAAATTCTACCAACCCATCCCCTCCTACCCTAGCAGACTGACTCACTTTTAATGCATAAAATACCACAGAGAAAAAGAGCCATTTGCCTGGCCCTTTTTAGCTCATTCCTTCCCTGATCCTTAAAAGTCTTCCTGACCATGAGCCTGGTCCACGTGACATCCAGAAATAGCTCAAGTGGGGATGACCACGGAAGGGCCCAGGGGTGGCAACAGACCTCATGCTCACAGGAAGCTCCATGCCAGGTCATCCACCTGTGGCCAGGGATGGACAGAAACATTTCTGTCTCCCACTGGGCCAGCCATGAGGCCCTTGGGGTCATAAAGAGGCACCCAAGCAAGTGGTGTCAGTGGCAGCCACACACAGTCTGACTGCATGACAGCATACTCGGGATAACTGGCTCAGGTGGCTGCTAGACCATGTCAGCCATGGTGGCATGGACAGCAGTCAATCCAATATCAATGTCCTGGGGAGGGGTACCACCATGGAGGACAATGACCAAGGCAAGGCACATGGGTTGGGGGCACTAGCCCTGTCACCTTGGCTATGGGAAGCCAGGGTCTGTGTCGCCCCTTTGCAAAACTTGGAAGAGGGAGGAAGTTCCATCCAAACTGGACCAGGTTGGCCCTGATATAAGCACAAATGCCATCCAGCCTGATTCAGATCACGAACCTTAACCACAAAGTTTCACCTGAACACTTTTTAAATCCCCAGCGTGGTAACAGAAGGAACAGCTTAGAAGGAAAAAAGAGCTATTTTCCCGTGGAGGAAAAGGATGTGCTTCTTTGGGAAACTCTGATCCATGTAGGCACCTGAGGTCCATGGCCCCCCTCAAACACAGAGAAGAACCATGTGACGGGGGCCCAATACATGGGGAGTAGCGGGACGTGGGCCTGGGGATGTTGAGACCCAGGTTGGTCACACAGCTCAGAGGTACAGCATGTGCTTCCCAGGCACGAGGCTCTGGGTTCATATCCCAGCACCAAAAAAGACAGAATATATACATATATATGTATATAGTCAATGATTCTGCCAGGCAGGGCTGGGCAATCCTCCTGCCCTAGCCTCCCTCATGCTGGGATGACAGGTGTGTACCATCACCACAGAGAGTAATCAAACACCAAGGCCAGAAGGGGGCCCCAGGGAGCTGAAGGGCAGGTACCTGTAGCCTGAGAAGAATCTGACCTGGGTATCAGTCCTTCTATGAGAGGAAAAGGGCACAAGTGGCTTTACTCCCCCAAGCTGTTCCCTGCTTCCCAGCAACCGAGGGATTTTTCTAGGAGAGCAAGGAGGAGGACACAAACCACCCCCATGGTTTGGCACAGGAAGTACCACACTCTCTTGCCCTCCTCCCTGGCTGAGCCCCTGCCTTCCCCCAGCCCCGCCTCCTTTCCCCGCCTTCGGGGGGGGGGGCTCAGGGGAGCTCTCCAGGGCGAGTCCCCCTCCCCCAGGGGTCTCAGGAGCCCGCGCAGGTGGTCACCCGCGCTTGGGGGCCCCCCTACTTGAGGGGGCAAATGGAGATCTTGGCCCCCGCGGAGAACATCCAGAAGGCCGGGTGCAGGGCGTCGCTGAAGTCCAGCCCCTTGAACTTGTACATCAGGTGAACCTTGTCGGAGGCCACGGCGAAAAAGATGAGGAAGCCGTGGTCGCAGTTGAGGAGCACGCCCACGCGCGTGGCCTTGGTGGAAGGCAGCGTCTTCTCGGCGTTGTTGTGCCACACGGAGATCTTGTTGTTGAACCACTCCACGCACCAGGACGCGGCGTTTCGGCCCAGGCGGCTCTCAGGGCCCTGGCGCTCCATGCTGCTGTAGCAGACGCCCACCCCGCAGAAGTTGCCCTTCTGCAGCTCCACTTCCCAGTAGTGGATGCCCTTCCTGTAGGAGTGCAGGCCCAGCACCTGCGAGCAATACGTGAAGCGATGCGGGTGCGACCGGTAGTGCTGCTGCATGTCTGCCACCGAGGCCACCGTGTAGTTCTCAGACAGAGACACCTTGTTGTGGGCCGTGTTGTAGTCCAGGATGACTTTCACGGAATCTGAGAAGAGACCGCCCCCCCGCGTAGGGTCAGGTGCACAGGGCAGAGACTGTCTCCCTTGGAGACCAGGCACCACCTGGTACTTTTACTTTACTTTTTGTACTTTGGGGGTTTTAAAGATAGGCTCTGCAGTGCTGTTCAGGCTGGCTTTGAACTCATGATGTAGGCCAGGATGGCCTCGAACTTGAAGCAATTCTGCTTCAACCTCCTGAGTGCTGGGATTACAGGCACACCCCACCTCACACAGTTTTTATTATTTGGCTTATTTTATCTGCCAGTCATGGTTTATGTTGGTGGCCCCCAGGCCTCATGCATTTGCATTATGCGTTTGTGGTTGATTCTTGTTTAGAGCTTGGATTGATGGTGTCAGTGCTATACCCACCTAGGGGTGGAGCCAGGATACAATGTAATGACGGGAGAAGGAGTGTGTCTCTCTCTCTCTTGCTGGTTTCAGCCTTGCTGTTTGCAGCCATCATGTACTACGGCCCTGCCATGCCCGCCTGCCTTGGAGCCAACTGAGTATGGACTGAAACCTCCAAAATTGTAAGAAACCTTTCCTTTCCCAGCTTTGGGCTTCAGATATTTTTGTCTCAGCAAGAAGTAAAAAGTAACTAAGACACCGCCCATCCACCCACACTTCCTTCATCCACCCAACCAAGCAACTTACAATCCAGGAGCTCGGGTCTGGACTTGGCTAAGAAGTTTTCAAGCACCTTGGCCTTAACAGCTTGGAAGTCAACAGCTTTGGCTGGAGCTGGAAGAGGAAAAAAATCAATGCTGCTGGGGCGAACTTAGTGGAGACCCTACAGCCCTCAGCCACAATGACTCACCATCTGGGACAGCTGCTTTCAAATCCACCGCCTGTCCAGGAGCACCAAAGATGGGCATCTTCTCGGCAGGGGCCGGGATAATGGCTGGAGGTTGGGCTGGGGCTGAGGAAGGGAGACTCAAGTTTGTGATGGGACCAGAAGGGGCGGGGTGGGCTCTGCTCCCTGATGACTGTCGAGAGCCACTCCATAAACACACACCTGAACAGCCAGGGCTGTGCAGATGCATCTAGGCTGCTGTCATATGTTCTGCTATGTTTCTGAGGCAAGGTCTTTCTATGGAGCCCAGCCTGGCCTTGAACTCATGGCAGTCTCCCTCCCTCAACTTCCTGAGTCTACTGAGATTACAGGTATGTACCGTGCCTCTGGCTTACAATCCTATCCTTTTTTTCATTCATTCCATTTTTGAGACAAGGTCCCGCTATACAGTTCAAGATGGTCTTGGACTCATGGTGATCCTCCTGCCTCAGCCTCCTGAGGGCTAGGATTAAGGTGTACACCCACATGCCTGGCTGTATTTATTCATTTAGTGATGCGAGGATGAAAGCCAGGGCCTCACCCATGCTACCCAAGTGTTCTACCATTAAATTACACCCCCAGCCTTCTCAGTCCTGCAGAATACAGTCATGGAGACTCGGCCCACCCCAGAACCTCAATATGATAGGGCAACTGCTGCCACCGGTAGTAGTGCTTTGTTTCATTTGTTTTCAGCACTGGGAACTAAATCTAGAGCCTTTGTATTGCGCTATAACCCCAGTCTTTTATTGCCTTTTTATTTTTGTCTTTCTGAAACAGAATCTCACGATGCCATCTGTTACTTTTTAATTTGAGATAAGGTCTCCTTAACTTGCTAAGTTGTCCAGCTTGGGCTCCAGCTTTTGGTCTTCCTGCCTTAGCTTCCCTGAGCCCCAATATTACAAGTGGGTGCTTCCAGGCCTAGCTTGCTGGCAGCTTGCAGTTCTAAGCTCGGACAAGTCTCAAAAGCAAAGAGAACCAAAATGCAAACTTACAAACTTTCTTGTACTTCTTGTCATCTGAAAAACAAAGTGTTCAAGATTCAGATATTTTATAGCACACCATTATCACATTTCATGGCAGTCATGATATTCACTGGCGCACATCTCACCCATACAGACAGAGTGAGGGCGTCCTAACTTGAAAAACAGAAGGGCTTGGTGGGCAGAAGGAACCAACAGCCACAGAAACCACACCAGTGGTGTTAGAGGCACTGACTCCTAAGAAGCAGGGGAGAATTTCCCAGGGAATGGAGCCACTGGCATCCTTTGTCACAGTGGATCTAACCTTACATTTACTGCAGGTAATTTGTATCTCTACAAAGTAAAACAAACCAAGGAAAACTAGGCAGGCAAAAAAAAATTTTGTCAGTTATCATGGCATTTGTTAATATCCAGAGTGTGTACATGAGCAGGAAGTGGCTGCCAAAATAGAGACTTCAAATCAGCAGCATCCAAGTTACCTGGAACCCGTAAGCATGTGGATAACATCACTTCCAAAGAATAAAAACTTGGTGTTTAGGAGGATATTAATAATCTCTTTGTATATAGAAAAGCACAGTATTTAAGCCAATGTACTGCACATTTGTGGTATTTAAGCTCCATTAGGGGGATAGGGGAACAGGGAAATAACTTTTCTAAAATGTCCCAGTGGGAGAGAAGAGGGACAATCCTGGAAAAGGCTGAGAAACACAGGAAGAGCAGAAGTGATTGCCAGACCAAAGACCTACACCCACCCCACTACTGAGGTGGAGACTCCAGCTGCTAGGACCCCCTGTGCCCAGCAGGGTGCTGTTTGAGACCCAGGACTCAAGTGTGAAGAGTGTAGCCTGCAAGGTGGACAAGCCCTCCTTCCTGCCCCAGAGGAACCCATAGCAGCCCTGCATGGCCCCTACGGTAACCTGGATGGGACACACCTATCTAGATGGAGCAGGGACCCCGGAATATCCCAGCCAAAGCACTGGGCAGCCACAGCTGCACCAATGCCACGGGGACAAGGTGGGCCACTTACGTGGTGATAGTTTCTTTGCAAGCCGTTGGCCTTTCTGGCTGGAGTCTGAACCATGGTCTCCTGAGTCCCCTGTGGCAGGGAGGAAGGGCTCAGTGTGCATGGCTCTGTTCCAGCCTGCTCCGAAGCCAGCTGTGCCAGGGCAGGCAGCCAGAGCACCTACACACACAGCTGTGCCCCCTCCAGTCACTGCGGAGCCGCCCTCCCCTCCAGTCATTGCGGAGGACAGACACAAGGTACTAGAAAGACCAGTGCTGTGTGACCTCTGCTCTGCCTAACACATAGCCAGGGGTGATTGAGGAGTTAGATCCTGGGGAAGATGGGGGAGCTCAGTTCAGCCTTAGGGACAGTGGGGAGGGGTCATGTATAAAGGCCCTTTATACAGAAAGCTCAGCATATCTGAGGGACAGATTGCAGAAACACAGGGGTGGCCTGGGGGCTCGACAGATGGACAGGACCTGCCCTGGCTTGCAGGCCAGCTCAAGGGTCTGGTCTATAATCTAAGAACAATGTCCCTAAGGGGAGGAGGAGGGAAAGGAATGAGGTCTGCATCTTGACAGCCTCTCTCTGGCTGCAGCAGAAAGTACAAAGGGACCACTTAGGCCACCACAGTCCCAGGACACAGCTAATGGCAGTAGACAACAGGCAGGTGGCAGATGTGTGAGACCAGTGGGCAGAGGTAGGAGAAATTTTAAACAGTGAGATCTGGTGATGAACTGGAATGAGGAAGGGAAAGGGGTTTCAGGAGGACTCTGGGGTCTCTCAAAACCACAAACTCGAACAGGCCAAAACCCACGCAGGTGGCCTCCCCACCCTGGGCAGAAAGGCCTACCATAGTACTGAGAACCCAGAAATCTTTCAGGAAGGAAAGCTAGGACTTCAGGTGAGGTGACACCAGTCCCAGGGCTCTGTGCCCCGTGCCCTCTGCTGCGCAGGATGCCCAGAGAACCCCCAGTCTCAGGCTCTGCCAAGGAAGCAGTGGAGCTGCTGGTCACCTGAGCTGGAGGCCTCCTCGAGCTTCTTGTCCTGGAGCTGCCGCACGGCTCGCTTCAGCTCATTCTTGAGGCCCACGGTGCCCTGGCAGACACCATTGATCAGCTCATGGTCCAGTTCCACGCGGGGGACGTAGACTGACTTCGTGGAGACTCCTTGCAGTTTGGATGCTTTCTGGAACAGGCAGGGAGTTCAGGCAGGAAGATCTGGTGAAGTCCAGGCCTGGCTCTATCCTTTCCAACCCACAGCAACTCCCGGCGCCCACAGGTGCTCAGGTCAAGAAACCAGCTCAAGTTTCAGGCCTCAGGTCACCAGGGCTTACAGAGCCCTTCTAGCACAGAAGCAGCTGGGACATGGTCCCCCCTGACCCCTCCAGTGATGGCTAGGACAGCGCAGGAACACAGGGCCCTCTGTGGCTTTCCACGAGCTGTAACCCAAGACAGCACCAGGGTATATCCCACAGGAAGGGAGGGTCTCACAGAAGGCCCAGCTTTGAGCCTAACTGGGGTCCAGTCTCACGCAGAGGCAGGATCCAAAATCCTCTCTCAGCCTGCTCCACCCTGGCATGGGCAGCATCATGCAGAGAGGAGAGAGGGTTCTCCCCACCCCACACCCCCAGAACAAGGAGGCTGGGGCTCTGGGGTTGGCAGCAGTCCCTGTATGCCAGGAACAGGCTTCTCATGAAGCACTGGAGGAGGAAGCAGCAGAGAGCCATGGATGGGCTTCTGGTTAAGACGCGAAAGCGGGCACATCTGAAATGTCATCTAGCACCACAGTGAAGGCAGCAGGACATGCTTTGGATCAACAAGTGGCACAATAATAGCACCCTAGGAAGATGGTAGCTGGCCCAGGACACAGGACTGGATGCACTGGGCAGAGGGCAGGGGGCCTTGCTGCCTCAGGCCCACAGACGAAGTGTGGGGGTACGAAAAGTGCCTCCCACAGTTAGGGCACGGCGGGGTCTGCAGGTACTGGAAAGAGACAAGGCTGCAGGCAAAGGTGAGGCCTGGCACCAAGGACCTCTCAGGCAGGAAGCCAGAAAGAGCAGAGCTTGAATGCTTCAGAGGGCACTTTTGGGGTCACATGGAGGGAGGACAGGAGGAGGAGGAGGAGGCTCATGGGAGGTGGCAGTCTAGGATGGCCCCACATTCCTGCCCCTCCTGGACACACAACCTGCCTAATCCCTCCCCATGAGGACACGGGATGGCAGTGGGCTGAGGCATCGCCCCTGATTGGCTTACATTATACTGCAAAGAGGAAGGAACAGTGCAGGTAAAATCCAGACTCCATGTCATTGACTCTGAATGAGCCAACAGGTGATTTTCCCGCAGGAGCCAGACTTAATCAAGTCAAACTTTTTCCACAGAGAGATGGAAAGACATTCTTCCCCGGACTTCAGAAAACAAGCAGCCAGGTCCACAGAAGACCTCAGGCAATGGCCAGCAAGAAAGTGGGGTGGGGGGGTTGCATCCCACAATCCCAGGGAACTGAATCCTGCCAAAAACCAGCTGAACCTAGAGGACAGGCCTGAGCTCAGAAACCAGCACAGTCTGCCCAACACCCAGGTACACAGTCCAAGAAGCTGTGCCCAGATCCTGGGCCAGGAAGACATTGAACAAAGTTATGTTCTCCTAAGCCCCTTTGGGGTCAGTTTTTGCACTGCACAGAAAACTAATACAGTGTGGGGGCTGGGGATTTAGCTCAGCGGCATAAGCGCCTGCCTTGCAAGCAGGCAGTCGTGAGTTCGATCCCTGGTACCGATAAAAACAAAAAAGACAAAAAAAAAAAAAAAAAAACAACTAATACAGTGTGCATCTTGCTAGGCACTTCAGGCTGATCTTAAATTCACTATATAGCCCAAGCTGGTCTTGAACTTGTAGTGATCCTCCTGCCTCAGCCTTTCAAGTGCTGACATTACAGTCTGTGCAACCACACCCAGCTCATCAGGGATGCTTCTAATGCCTCCTCCAGTCCCAGCTCTGGGAAGACAGAAAGTACTCAGCAGCGCGATCCTCAACACCCACCTCCAGAAACTCGAACTCATCCCCCACGGCCAGGTTGAGCTCGAGCTCATCCTTCAGGGTCTGGATCTCATTCCTCTTCTTGAGCAGAATCTGGTAAATGGTATCGAACTTGCTGCTGACCCTCTTCTCCTCTTCCTTTATCTTGCGCATAGTGTTGACTTCGGAGGAGTCAATGAGCATCTTCATTTCCCGGTATTCCTGTTTCACCTGCTCAATCTTCCGGCCTGCAGCATCCTAAAGGCCAAGGCAAGATGGTTCCTGAGTGTCCAGGACAGGGGGCCGAGGTCCTGCTGCTGAACTCAGTGGCAGCAGGAACTGCATGGTTGCTCTGGGTAGCCACTTGCAACACCCAATGAGAGTGTGAAGGCGCCCCCTCCACCCCCCAGGGACTCCAACCTCGGCATATGCCCCCCTCTAAGCCTTTCGGACCTCCTTAGAGACACACCTCAAATATTTATAAGCAGCACTGGGCTTTTATTTATTTATTTTGTTTGTTTGTTTCCTGAGACGGGTCTCACTACGTAGTTCAGGCTGGCCTCGAACTCATGAGGCCCAGACTGGCCTTGCACTTGTGGTGATCCTCCTGCCTCAGCTACCTGAGTGCTGGCATCACAGGTGTGTACCAACACACCCAACAGAAGCAGCACTGCTTGAAAAAGTAAAAACAAGCAGAACATCCATCAACAGGAGACTGGAACAGAGATGGCACAGGTATGCAGTAAAAGGATGAGGCAATGCACAGAGTGGACACATTCAGAAGAGAAGAGGAAGGGGATGGGATGGGGGCGCAGTGCCAGAACATTCCATTCCATTTTCCCTGTGGTACTAGGGATTGCACTGGGCTGTGTACAACCCCAGACCTCTTCTTACTGTTTTTGTGGTCTTTCTTTGTTTCTTTTACTTTTATTTTTTGACACTGTCTCACTGTGTAGCCCACTTATGGAGATCCTTCTGTCTCAGTCTCCCAGGTACTGGATTATAGGAATGCACCGTCACCCCCAGCTGAGACACTTTATTTTTCAAACTATAAACTGTTCCTAAGTAATTATTTTATTAGGGGGCAGGAGTTGGGTTTTTCAGACAGGGTCTCAATATGTAGTTCAGGCAGGCCTTGAACTCTCTAAGAATCCCAGGCTGGTCTACACAGCAGATTCTCATGCTACAGCTCCACCTGGATTCAGAAAGTGCCAAGACTGCATCTCCCAAATCCTCTGCAGCTAGGCTTGGGTCTGACTAAGCAAATCCCAATGCTGAGGCACAGCCAGCAGTGACAGATGCAACGCTGTCACTTGTGCAAAAGGAAACTGCTAGTCAGGAGTGGTGTATGCTGTACTCCCAGCCCTCTGGGAGGCTGAGACAGGAAGATAGACAAGCCTGGGCAATTCAACAACTTAGTGAGAACCTGACTCAAAATAAAAAATTAAAAGGGCTGGGGATGTAGCTCAGTGAGAAGGTCCTGGGTCCCATCCCCAGCACCACGGGGAAAAAGAAGCAAGACAAGAGGAAAGATAGAAAGAAGAGAGGAATATAGAAAGTAGGGAAAGGAAAGAAGGAAGGAAATACTTGTTTCCCTCCCTACTTCCCTTTGCACAGACTAGAACAAGGATGTCACACTGCGCCAGTGTAGAAACTCAGCTGGACACAACTGCTGCCATCTTGGTCATCACTGCCAAACATCCACTTTCCAGGTGACCCTGGCACACATCCATACCCCACAGGAGAAATAGTCACTAAGTTGGACAATGAGTGTGTTTATGGGCTACTGAAGCCGCGACACATTAACGGATATTGAGAAAGGCAGGTGCTTGCCAGTTGGCCATTGCCACCTTTGTCCAGCAAAGCCCCTCCTGCTGGCTTGGGCTGCAGGACCCTCCTGCTTTGCTGCCACTCAGCACAGATCTCCATCCCAAGGTCCTCATACCCTGCACTTTGTGCAATTCTGGATGTGTCTGCCTCTTTTTTCGGGCCCCTGTGGCTGCGGATTTAGCTCAGAGGCATAAGTACTTGCCCGGTACCAAAAAAAAAAGGTATTCTAAAGGCCGAGGATTTAGGTCTGTGGGGTAAGCACCTGCCTGGCAGATGCAAGGTCATGAGTTCCGTCCCTGGTGCCAAAAAAAAAAAAAAAAAAAAAAGAGAGAGAGTACTCTTCAGTTGCCTGGCCCCTTCACCTTTGTGGAAAAGCTAGGTATCCAACACATGGAGCAGGAGGACGACAGGAAGGAAAGGACCCCGGATACCTGAGTGTTCATGGGGAGCATGGCCACACACACGCCCCACCAGGCTGGGTGACTCCTGGGTGGGCTGTGCTGTCACCATGAACACAGTAACCTGCTAGTCTGGCTGCAGTCTCTGAATTGGGGGACACTTTTCTTTGCAGCAGTTTAACCAATTACATGTTCATCCCACCCTCTCACTCAGCCTCAAGACCCCCTTCAGAAAGGAGGTGAGATTCCACTGTGGGGAGGGAAAACCAATGGCTCCAGACCTGCCCAGTTGAGTAAGCCACAGCTGAAACAGACACCACGGCTCAGCATGTTTAATGTCATAAAAAATTTTGAAGCCAGGCATGGTGATACATATGTACAATCTCAGAACTCAAGAGACTGAGGCAATTGGACAGTGACTGAGGAGATAAACCATGCAGGAAACAGTCTTAGAAAAAACAAAAAAAAGAGACTGAGGCAAGAGGATCACTGCAAGATAAAGGCCAGACTGAGAACTACATAGCCAGACCCTGTTTCAGGAAAAAAAAAAAAAAATAGCAAAAAACCATTTCCACCCTTACCCTAGAAGACTTCTGCCCAGTGTTTCCCTACACTTTCTGGAATGGTTAATGCTGACCTTTCAAAGACAAGTCCACAATCCAGAGTCTGTGATCTTAACCTCAAGGAGAACAAGAGTCTTTTGGTTGTTTGCATTGGTTTTGTTTTTGAGACAGGGTCTTGCTATGTAGTCCAGGCTGACCTTGAATACACTATAATAGTCCAGGCTGGTCGTGAACTCACGATGATGCCCCTGCCTCAGCCTCCCAAGTAATGGGATTACAGGCGAGCAGCAAGAACAAAGGTCTTTGCAGAGGTAACTTTTTAAATGGTTTTCAGGTGAGGCCATCCTGATTAGCCAGGAGGGCCCTTAATCCAAGGACAGAAGAAGAAGTGCAGAGGGAAGGGAGGTGACCACACACAGAGATGGAGACAGGGACTGGCACAAGGCAGCTGCAGGCCAAAGAGTGTCCAAGGCCCAGAAGCTGCAAGAGCCGGGGAGAGGGAGTGTGGCCCTACAACACCTTGGCTGGGGACTTCCGGCCTCCAGAACTGTGACAGAATCTAGATCTGTTATTAGAAGCCACACAGTGTGTGGTGACTTCTCACAGCAGCCTTGGGAAACAACTGTGTGTCCTTTGCATAGACAGATGCAACCCTAGTGGGCATGAACTTTGGCCTCCTAATTCTGCCTCCCTCATAACTATAACCATTTTTCTACATTACTGTAGTTTTGGGTGTTTTTGAGCCAGGGTCTTGCTATGAAGCCCAGGTTGTCTTTGAACTCATGGCGATCTTCCCACCTCAGCTTCCCAAGTGCACCACCACCTCTAGCAAGGCTGGGTTTCGGGCAGCTTTCAGGTTGGGTGTGCAATGCATCTTCCTTGGGCATAGGCCCTTCCCTATGCTTTGACAGGATCTCGTGCAGTACTGAAGCTTGGGAGCACGCTCAGCTTCCTCCAGGTCCAACCTTTTCTGTCTGGCTTGGAGGCTGAGGAGCTGTGGAGCAGGGAGGGCACTCACCTGCACGCTCTGCTTTTTGGCTCGCACGTCCTCCAGTGCTCGGGATGCCCCGCTGATTTGACTGCACATGATGCTGAGCTTCTGCCTCAGCTTGTTCTGTGGAGGAGGCAAACAATGGTGAAATGCCCCTGCTGGGCTGGCCTAGCCCCACCCAGACCACCCTTGAATCTTTCTCTCTGGCACTCCTGATGCCCTGACTCTGAGGCTAAGTCAACAGTGCAGGTGTCTGTGCCCTGACGGGACGTGAGCATTGCCAGCTGGTGTGCTGGTGACTGTGCTCAACACTCCTCCTGTGAAATCAAAGAGCAGAGGACAGTGAGGTGACTTCCAACACCAGGACCACTGCTTCCACCATGGCAGATTTGACCATGGGGACAACCCTCCTCCTGCACAGTAGGGCACCAGCCAGAACCACAAAAAGAAAAAGACGCAGGAGATGGGGACCTGCATAGACACACCTGAATCCGGGATGCTTGAATCTGGGACTCCCTTCATTAGCTTCAGGAGGGCAGGGAGCAGAAATCATGGCCTGGACTCATCCAGCCACCCCCGGCTAAGCCAGGCCACAGGGGCAAAGCCCAGCTGCAAATCTACTTAGTCCCCCAGCTAAGGTAGTTCAGGCTCGCTTGCTCCCAGCCATTCCAGGGACACAAGGAAATGAGGCAGGAAGTTGACATCATCCTCGGATTATTTCTCCAAGATGTCACGTCAAGCCAGGAGACGGAAGCCCAACACTCTGGGAAGCTGAGGCACGAAAAGAGGTTCAAGCAACCTGGCAACTTAGTGACACCTTGTCTCAGCATTTAAAAATAATAATAATAAAGGGATAAAGGGCTGGGGATGTCACTCAGATCCTGCATTCAGTCCCCATCAGTCCCCAGTAACACACACACACACAGAGTCTAATCAGTATCTGAAGCTCCAACATCCACGCTCCGTGCTCTGTGCTGGGGCAGAGAAATGAGAAGGGCAGCGAGTAGGTTTTCACATGCTTATTGTGTGCCGGCATGGGCTTGGTGCCCTGTACATATTAATTTATTTAAAGCAAGCTAAGAGCAACACTGTGGGGATGAAATCTTCCAACCTTTACAGAAAAGAACACCACAGCACAGAGCAGCTAGGTGCCTTGTGCAAGACCATGGTGCTGTTTCCTGGCACAGCTAAGGTTCTAGTATAAATCCTGTAAGCCCAGCACTCAGCATGCTGAGGCAGGAGGATTGCATGGGTTTAGGCCAGTCTGGGATACACAGTGAGTTCAAGGCCAGCCTATAATGAGATCCCATTTCACAAAGTAAAATTATAGCCATGTTACCAAACTGAACATGTTGGAAATTTCTAAGGAAAAAAGACAAGACATTTCCTTCCTCGAAGTAGCTAGCTCTACATGTTCTGACCTTCCCTTCCACTTTCCTACTTCTCTCCCTGTGCCAGAGACTATCAGGGCTGACCCTGACCTTGAATGTGGAGTTGAAGAAGCCAGTGAGTCACATGTCAGGGCTGACACAGAGCTCAAGGCCACAGGTCCTAGATCAGGAAAACGCAAGTCACTGCCATTGTTTGGAACTGGACCTCTGTGACACTGCCCCTCCCCCTGCACAACAGGGGCTCAGGAGACCCGGGACACAGCAGTGGGAAGCTGTTTGAGGTCAACAGGCTACTGGGCACTGCACCCTAAGCCCTGTATTTTGAAAGCGTTTATCTATCACTAATCAAACAGTCTGAGGACTTTGACTACAGCAATGATCCCCTAGTCAAGGGTAAATAATTTTGTGTGTGTGTGTGTGTGGTGGTGGCCATGGTACTGGGGATTGAAGCCATGGCCTAGGTACTGAGATACATCCCCAGCCCTCTTTATTTTTTGAGACAGAGACTCCCTGAGTTGCCTAGGCAGGACTTGAATTTGCGATCACCCACCCCATGCCTCTCTACCTCAGCCTCCCGTACTGCTGTGATGACAGGCATGGACCACTGAGCCCGGCAAGAACTTTTTGAAGATCTGATGATCAGTTACAGAGGCTGAGGACCTGGCCAGGCTGGAAGCATTGCCCAGCTGGGGCTGGCACAGGAAAGGGAAAGCCCAAAAGGGCACATGGATTAAAAATCACAGCATGGTGACACCCAGAGTAGCAGCCTTGCCATGCTGTGCAGACTGCTCAGACTTCTCTCCCCCAGCCAGTCTCATGGCGTGCTGAGGAGAAGAAACTCTCTGCCTCTCCACAAGTCCAGGAACTTAATGCCTGAGCACAGGCCATCTTGACAGCCATAGCAAGGAGTGCCCCGTGCCTCTACCCAGCACCTGAGCCCTTATCCCCACACCTGGGTAAGGAAAACCTTTTATCAATTCCGAGCTTGGGAGCCAAGTCAAGATTTAGGGCCCCTCTGGCTGAAGCCCTTGTAAAGCCCTGGATCCTGCCCTTGAAGGGCTTCCCCAGAGGCCCTAGTTCCCCCTCCCCTGCCTGCCCGGGCTTCGCCCACTGCCAGAGGAGACCAGAATAAGGAAATGCAGGCTGAGACTGCAGGGACTCAATCAAAAGCCAAGCTCTATGGGGCAAAACAGGGCTGCAGGTCCCAAAGGCTGGGCGGGTTCTCTCCTGGAACAGGCAGCAAAGATACAGTGAATGCTCCACTCTGCCAGAGACAATCAGGGCAGTAAAAGACATATTGGTATTAATCCCCCAAAATACACCCCTTCCCCTTGCACACACGTCTCCCCGCATTCTTGCCACTTTCTGAAGCAGTTCTGAGTCCTCTTTCATGACTGTCTCCAGGTGCGCAGTCCTGGCTGCCTTGTCCGAATCTATTCCCGGTGTTTACCTTTCACGGTTCTTTTGACTTTGGGGAAAAGCCAGAAGTCTCATAGTGTCAGATCCGGCAAGTAAGTTGGACGTGGGTGCACTGCTGTCATGTTTTACAAGTCTGCCTTTCTGTTGGATGGCACTCAGCAGCAGCATCCACTGTATTCTGATCACACCTCACTAAGACACTGGTGAAAGAGGACTTCCAGAACTGCTCCAGAAAGTGGCAAAGGTGATGGGACAAGTGGGGGGGGGGCAGTGGGTGATGGCGGTATTCTGAGGGGGATTAATGGCAATGTGTCTTTTGTCATAATAAAATGTTTGCACATTCATCCATTCACCACCTTTTTGGATCATGCTGTGTGTGCCCAAGTTGCGGTGACCACAGAGCTCAAAGGACTTGCCCTGAAGTCCAGCTGCTGAGATGCAGTGGAAAAGCTCCCAAGGAGCCCAAATCAGCCCCAGAGAGCCAGGAAGGATTGGACAGGGCCAAGGCAGAGGGAGCAAGGCCTGCACCCTGGTCCCGGTCCCATCACTCACAACTGTGACCTTGCCCCGGCTTAAGTCCCTGTGACAACACCCAGACCAGACTTTGCTCTCCCTGCTATGCTGGCTTTGGGGCTGGCTACAACTTTTCAGCCTCCGCTTTGAACCCACAGGGAAAGTACATGCCCCAACACCACAAGTATCCCCAGACTTTCCGGGGCCTTAGGACTCCAGCTAGTCCCTATTCTCCCTCTACCCAGGTCCCCAGGGCCGAATCCCGTGTTTAAAGGCACACACCAGAATGAGGGCACTATGGCGCAAGAGCCCAGCTCTCCTTGGTTCCCATCTGGCTATTCCTGGGCTCTGCCTGCCCTCCCTGGCCACCACAACTCTTCGGCTCCACAAAGCCTTTTGTTCAAGAATGTCCCACGTTCTAGACTCCGCTTAGGAGTCAGCTCCGTGGGAGGAAACTGCAGTGCTTGGACCCCAGGGTTCCCTTGGCCATTTAATGCATTAGCTCGGCTACATTAGCCTCTCTGAAGCTCAGGAGCCCTGAACTATGAAATGGAACTAATAGGAACCTCCTGAGTGGCACTAGGATTTAAGGGCTCACAGAAGCCTAAACACCCTCAGACAAGCACAGGCTTGGGGCAGGCCCCTTTACCTGAGTCCTGCCAAGTGGGCGTGTGGGGAGCAGGCAATGGATGAAGTGGGGAAGACTACCCAATCTCCCCGCTGCTCCTTTCTGCTCTGTCAATGGGATGCCCATCCCATCCGCATAGTGTCCCCCAGTGACCACAGGTGGCCTGGAAGGAGGCTGGTCTCGGCCAGCAGAGCCCATCAACGGAGTCCTTCTCCCCAGATTCCACACTGGCCTAGCGGGTCCCGGGGCCCCTGGCCGCCCTTCCGGCTCTGGCTTACCTCCAGGTCAGCGCTGGCCTGGCTCAGGGGCGTGGGTGAGCACACCTTGTGCTCCACCAGGCAGATGTGGCAAATGCACTCGCTGTGCTCCGGGCAAAAGAATTCCCGCAGACGATTGTGCTGGGGGCATTTGCGGAGCTGCAGGTCTCGGACGGGGGCCTGCAGTGAGTGGTCCCGGAAGGCCGGGCTGTCGAGGTGCGGCTTCAGGTGCTCCTGGCAGAAGGAGGCCATGCACACCAAACAGGTCTTCACGGCCTTCTCCTTCAGGCAGTGGTCGCAGGACACCTGAGCGGCAGTGCTTGGGGCTGGGGAGCGGGAGAGCAGCTTCCAGTCACCGGCGGGCGCCCGCGTCTGCTCGGTCTGCATGAACTGCTCCACCACGGCGCATAGCACCGTGTTCTTGTGCAGCAGCGGGCGCGCGGTGTAGGAGGCGCGGCACTGGGGACACTGGTACGGTGCGCCCTGGACGGCCCAGCTCTCGTCCAGGCATGACATGCAGAAGTTGTGGCCGCATGGGGTGGTGACCGGGTCCTTGAAGAGCTCCAGGCAAATGCAGCACGACAGCTCCTCGGACAACGGGCACAGCTCAGCCATGGCGCTCGCGGAGCCCCGACGGGACGTGCACAGCAGCCGCGGAGAGCGAGAGTCTGAAAGTCTGGCGACTCTCCCCAGGCAGCGCCGAGGAAACGAAACCCAGCGCGCGGGGCGGGGCCGGGCTTTCAGGAAGTCACGTGCGGCAGGGTCACAGGGGGCGTCCCCCGGGTCGCCTGCCTCGCTCGCTAGCTGGCGCTCGGGGACCTGGACAGGGACCTGCACAGCCCCGAGGTCCCAGGGTGAAGGGAGGGCTCAACTCTGAGGACCTGGGACCCCTCGTCCCTCTTCCCCAACGCTTTCCTGTGGCCACCGCGGGGACGACACTAGGGGACACGACATGGAGAACCCCAGACTGGCGGGTTCAGCGCGGTGCAGTTTGACTTCTGCTCGGACCTTTGCCCAGAGCAGGTTCCCCCTTGCGAGAGAACAAATGGGTTACGGAGGGGTCCCCGTTGCCCTGTGTGCCTTTTGACCAAGCTACGCCCGGCAGGGCGGGGCTTTTAAAGATGTGTCTGTGCAGAGTATTAGTCTGTAATAAAGAAGGATAAGCGAGCGGTTTGTGGGAAAATAGATGCACCTGGAGACCAAAATTGTAAGTGAGAGAAATCAGGCACACAGGCTTCAATGGAGCATGGTTTCTCTTAATTTGAGAAACCCAATATATAAATGAAGAGCAAAAGAAAAGATAGTTTATAGGAAATAGGGCCCCTCTCTTAAACGGGAAGGGGAGCAAGAAATGGAGGGAGAGAGGAGAGAAAGAGCATGAAAAAAAGAAGAAAATACTAACTTTAGGAACTGCTTAAGGTCAGGGACCCCTCCCTGAAATGGGCATGGAACCCAGAACCTTCACACCCTCTCTACAGCTATGCACCTGGTGTTTTCCTCTTTCCTATTCTCCCTTTTTTCCCCTCTTTTTTCTCCTCCTCCCCCCCCCCCCTTTTTTTCTGAGACAAGGTCTCCTTATGCAGTTTGAGCTGGTCTTGAACTCACTTTGTAGCCCAGGTTGGTTTTGAACTCACAATGATCCACCTGCCTCATCCTCCAGAGTGCTGGGATTACAGGATTGTGTCGCCTCGCCTGGCCAGATTTATATCTTTTATTTTGTTTTTCTAAATTCTGTTTTCCCCCTCTGATCTGGGGTCAGAATTTGTGAAAGACCAAGAGAAAGGTCTGGGGCGGGTTGCTTGGAATTTGCATCAGATGACAAGGTGATTAACAAAAAGAGGCAGAGGGTAAAGGTCCTAGATTATGTAGGACAGCTACTACTTCCAAGACATCTGTGTGATAGACAAGTCATGCATGTTATTTTTTACTGTGTCATTATGGCCATTTTACACTTGAGGTCTTACAACTTTGGGGGGGGGGGCAGTCTCAGCATGGTCCAAGAGGTCTCACAACTTTTATAAGCAGGGCTGGAATTCCAGTTCCAGACTTTGGAACTCAACATCCTAACTCCTGGTCCCCCAGGGCCTGTTACATGGGCCCCTCTCTTCCCTGTGATCCTTTACCCACTTGTTCATGCTTTGTGGTGGCCTCTGCATGGAGAGGGGCAGAGAGAGGACAGGAGGGAGGCAGGAAATCAAGATTGACACATCATTTCTCACTTATTCCCACACGAAGTTTGTGAAGTAGGTAAAAAGATTTCATGTTACAAAGGAGAAAACAGGGTAAGGGAAAACAAACTATTTGTCTGTAACACTGGATGCTGGCACTCAGCCTATCTGGTTCCAGAAACCAAACATTTCCTACTATAAAATACTCCCTGCCTCCCAAGGGTGGAGTAGGAACTGTTTCCAGGAAATAAACACTTAGAAAATCCACCTCTAACCTAGTTACGCACCAGTGGGGTGGCTTGGTGACTCAAGCTAGAATGTGGAATTGTCTTTCTCGGGTTGAGAAAGGCTGGGTAACCACTTAAAAAAACTAGGAGGGCCACGGTATTTGTTTACTACATTCCACGGCATAGATATTTACTACAACCTACAGTGCAACAAGCTGAATGCTTACGGAAGAAATGTGAGTCAAAGATGGGCCTCTCTCCCCGTCTCCCTTCTCCCTTAGTCTTCTGCTCCTGTGTTTTGTTTTGTTTTGTTTTGTTTTGTTTTGTTTTGTTTTGTTTTGAGTCAGGGTCTCACTGTGTAGCTCAGGCTAAGCTGAACTCATGGTGGTCCTCGGGCCTCGGCCTCCTGTGCAGGGCTTCCATCTACCATGCGTCAGTCTGGACAGTGAGAGGTCACTCCTTGCTAAGGATACAGACTCCTCTGCAAAACAGGGGCCCAGTAACACCTCTCTGTCCTTATTGTTGGGATGCAGCTCAGCACAACAGTGGCTGCCTGGCCAGCGGGAGGCCGAGAGTTCGATTCCCAGTACCAAAACCAAAACCAAGCAGAGCACCTTCAACCCACACTGGAGTCAGCGGGGTTGGGGCAGCAGAATGTGAACCCTCCCATTGTGAGAGTACACTCTTGGGCTTGTGCAGGCTCAGGGCCAACTCCTGGACCAGATGATGAGGTTACTTAACATCTACCTTCAGCAGCTCAGTGTCCCGAACTCAAATGTGACCCAGTTGGTCAACGCAGAACTAACTTTATGGCCCCACCTGGCAGATGATTGGCAACCCTAACCAGACTCTCCGAGTCTGGAGGGTGGAAGACGAGATGGAGTAATTAGCTTCATTTGCCTGCAAATACAATCTGCCCATCATCTGCGGCAGGGCCACCCTGTGCTGAGGTCAGACTGGAGGTATGGGTCAAGAACCCGCCCAGCCCTCGACTCCTTATGGAGGACACTGGCTCCTTTGTTTTGTTTTGTTTTGTTTTTGTTTTTGTTTTTCTTCCAGGGATTAATCTTGAAAGGATTTTGCCCTGGAGAGGACACTGGGAGGCTGGGAGGCAGCAGGTCACCTTCCCCGCCCCTAAGCAATTTACCTATTGTGGTATAAAATGAATTCCAACGGAATTCATTTGCATCAGTAATGCCCCTTAGGCTCCACCTCAAATCTAAGCTACCTGTATGCCCCCACACCACGTGTCCAGCAGAGAGAAAGCCAGACCCCGGAGGTCAGGAGTCTCTCTCCACATTCTTAAAATAAAGGCCACTTTACTTGATATTTTGTCTTCTAACTGCACCGTAAACTCTTTCAGATCTCAGGACCTTGGCCTGTCAAGCATGCTCTTGTGCCGCTGAGCTGTATCCCCAGCACACATCGGTTCTTCTTGCCATTTAACCAATCGTCAGAGAGGCTGGAGGTGCGGCCCAGGGTGCTCAGCACAATATTCCAATAATGTCCTGGTCAGGTTTTGCTGTGGAGGTCATGATGCCTTCGTAAAAACCTACCAAGAAGGCCGGGCGTGGTGGCTCACGCCTGTAATCCCAGCACTCAGGAGGCTGAGGCAGGAGGATTGTTGTGAGTTTGAGACCAGCCTCAGCTACAAAGTGAGTTCAAGGCCAGCCTGAACTGCATAGGGAGACCCTGTCTCAAAAAGACAAAAAAAAACCTACCGAGAACAGTTCCTTCAGTTCCTTCTTTCTTTTCTGAAAGAGCTAGGGTAAAATTGGGATTCTTTCTTCAATCTGTAGTGAAATTTGCAAGTAACGCTTTCTTGAATTTTCAGAATTTTCTTTGAATTTTCTGGAATTTTCTTCATGCAAGGTTTTAAGTTACTAATGTGCCACATGTGATATGTGCCCAGTACTTAGGAGGGTCACTGTGAGTTTAAGGCCAGCTGAGGCTACATAATGAGTCCAAGCCAACCTAAACTACAGGATGAGACCCTTTCTCAAACAAAAAGTTACTAATTCAATTTCTTCGACTGACATAAGAATATTCAGAATTTTTATTTCTTATGTCAGTTTTTTTTTTTTAAATCGGTAGCGCGGATTGAACTCACGACTGCCTGCTTGCAAGGCAGGCGCTTATGCCGATGAGCTAAATCCCCAGCCCCTTATGTCAGTTTTTGATAAGTTGTTTTTCAAGGAATCTGTCCATTTCTTTCTTTTTTTTTTTTTTTTTTTTTTCTTTGAAACAGGGTCTCACTGTGTAGTTCAGGCTGGCCTGGAACTTGTAATCCTCCACCCTCCCAAGTGCTAAGATTACAGGCATGCACCACCATGTCTGGCTGTTGTGGTTCTGGCAAAGCCTTTGTGGAGCAGTTCTTATTGTCAGGCACCAAAGAATAAGATTCCTTTTTTTTTTTTTTTTTTTTGGTATCCGGGATCGAACTCATGCTTGCTAGACAGGCACTGTGCCAGTGAGCTATATGCCAGGGCCCCATTTTCTTTGCTGTATTTATTGCCATGAGGTTGCTTGTAATCTTTCCATACCACCTGTTGTAGTCAGGGGTTGTGAGGAGAACAATTAGAACCAAGACACAGAATTTATAATATTTTATCATGGTAACACAGAGTAAAAGACAAAAAAGTTCAGGAAATCTGTCCACAACACTAAAGACCCAGAATATTCAGCCAAGAATCTTGATCCCACAGCAATGTCCTGCATGAGTACAGATGAAAACCTAGAGCCCATCACAATGCCTCCCACAAGTCCAGCTGGAGCTCTAAAGCCCACGAGAAGGACTCACGCCAGTCTGTTTTGTGGATCCACGCTGGAAAGGCCCAAAGGTCAGTGGTGGAAGCTAGAAAGTCTATGCCAGCAGAGTGAAGGAGCTGTGCTGGTAGGTTGAGGGTTCTACACGGGAGCAAAGAAGTCATGTTGAAAACAAGGACCAGGGATGTTCTGAAAAGTACCACAGCCATCCTAAGTGACACAGAGATCCCGAGCTCCTCCGACGGTAAGAACAGTTGAGTACATACCAAAAAGCCAGTGCGACGAGTTTGTCCTGGAGATTAAACAGCATATATCTTCCGCTCCAGAGCCAGGAAGCAATGCTAGATGTAAGGACCAGAGCTCCCCCAAAGTGAACCACAGCCACTCTCACCAACAAGTCCCAAGCCCTCCGATGACAACGGTTGAACTCACACTGGGAAAGCGAGTCATGACCAGCTCCTCCAGGAGAACCAATCGCTCAAACAGCAACACACAGTGCCTCACTTGTCTTCGCCATATCTCTGTTTATGCTGGCAATGTTCCTCAGGTGGACCA